GGGGGGAGGGGGGGGGGGGGTCTGGCCTGCATTCACTCCGATCCGCATCCACTCTTGATTCTCTCTGATTCCTCTCGTTGGACCTGTGTAGGTCTTCCAGTATGAGTTTTTCCTTCGGTGGGTACCCCCTCTCTACGTGATTTCCACTTGCGTCAGTGTCTCCCACTCCTGAAAACGATGGAAAAGGTTCCACTGGAAGGCCTGTATCGTTTTGAGCTATGGGGTTGCAGTTACGTTCAGTAGAAAAGGAAGGAACGATGTCGACCGACTGGGAATCAGTAGAAACAGTCGTTTATGGAGCGCCACACTAGCACCAGAGTTTTCCAACGTCATTGGTGGAAATCAACTTTCCAACTTGTGTTTATCAACTGAAAAGTCAAGGAAAAAAACATTTCAATCAGTATATAGTGTGACTGATTGTAACTGTGTTCGTAACTACGACTGACGTTTAGTTATCATTCTATCGCTAGATTTTGAACATGTCGTAAAGGTTCAATCCTCAAGTTATCTTACAAGCATTAGATGAATTAAAACCGTTATTCATTAGGTATTTGGTAGTTTAATCGATTGATTTTTGTCGCATGAATACATCGATATGGATCTCAGGCAGCACCCGGATTTAATCAGCACTCTCAGACTTTTCATCCAGAGGTTGTTCGTAAAAATTTCATTTTTCGGTTCTTCTGTTTTCTTGTTGTGTCGTTCCTAGGGTCTAACCTGTTTGGTATTCTTTCAGGGGTAGTTGGGGCACGTCCAGAGGGGATAACGACAGTTCTGATGATGAAATTATCATCTCAGAGACAATGCCCAAAAATATGGCTTTTTGCAGCACAGAACAGCTCACTGTGAGTCGCATTTATTTCTGTAATCGAACCATGATTGTGCAGTTTATGTTTCTTCATGTTGTTTTCCTTATCGCCTCTCCAGAAGAATGATATATGTTTCGAGACGAAACTGGCGTCTGGGCTGGTTCAAACTGAGGAGAAAGATGTGAATCAGTGTGTGACGTCCATCATTCAGAGGAGCCAGCTTGGGCCTGGCTTCACTACTGGACAAATCCGCAGGATCGGAAATCATTTTTTGCCAAATACCATGAAGAAGGTTGATAAGTACAATAGCAAAGCTTTCTGTGGGACCTACTCCAAGAATGGGGATCTACTCGTCACTGCCAGTCAAGGTTCTATTGCGAATTGCGATTTTTTAATTGCTGATTAGTAGAGAAATTATAAAACGAGATAAGTCAGCTTGACGTGGGGGTGAGTGTTTGATGAATATCTGCGATTCTAGAGGAGACGGGGAAATTTTACTGAAGATATTCTTGAGATGTAAATACTAAGAGACAAACGTATAGTATCTTAAACAAGGTTTGGTTTTACCCGAAAAAGCGAAAGTTGAAAATTACCGAAAAAGAAATGTTTTGCTTTCTTAACGTATGAAACTCTCGGATGGGAATCATCGTTCTGCTTTTAACAATGAAATGTTCCATTTGAGGGGGGGATCATTCACACAAGATGGTGCCTTTTCAGAATAGGAATATCTTCCTCTTTATCCTATTCTAAAAAGAACATACACTTAAGGATAATCGGGCGAGGGGGAAATGTAGGAGGTGAGGTGGAGGGGTTTCTATTGTTTTCCTGCAGAAAACCAATCGCTGAACAAAAAAATTTTTCCCATTCGGATTGAAAATTTGGGCAATATTAGGGAGTATCTCCGGTTAAAAATTATTTTTGGACCTAATCAAATTTATTTCTATCTGTTCCACGCATTGAATGGTTTTTAGATAGTTTTTTTTAATAAATGAAAAAATATTAATCCATGCGAAAAAGTGGCAACATCGTCGGTAGTTTCTTTTTTCACTAGGAGCTGGTACCACTGGCTCGAGGGAGCTCCAATCACAACGCTTCATCGCTGATTCTCAATTGAAGTTTTAATGGAAGTTTCGATAGATTTCTGTGGAAAATCCTTCGCTTTTTAATGCAAGTTTTCATAGCTTTCGCTGTATCTCCTATTGATTCTCGACGGAAATTTCTATCCCTTTGCACTAAAAAAAATCATGAGTTTTCATCAGAAGTTTTCATCGCTTCCCACGAAGTTCTCCTTAGTAATACTATAGAAATTCGTGTACGTGAAAGAAGATTGATTCCAATGAACTTAAATGAATCATATAAAACCCATCAAATTGTCAGGCGCGCGGAGCGCGTCTTCAATCTCGTATTATAGGAATCCAAAGCAATTTCTGGTGATAAAAATTTGGTACTTGACATTAAGACTCCAAAATGAAGGATCAGAATCACAAGGGTCAAATTAAGCGTTACAAGGGTCAGAATAAAGGTTCAGATGATAGACGTAAACTAGATTTCATTAAAAAATATTTTATTCCTAGTCATGAACTAAATTTGATCAAAAAATATTTTGTTCCTAAGTTACAGGATTGCTACCATATCGTCATTATTCTATGCAAGAATTGATATCTTATCTTTGATTATTGAATAGCCGAAATGAAAAACTACTCTCCTTCGTTTCGCGTAAAAAAACATTTCAGAAATGAGATTTCTTGCTTGCACAAAAAAAGACCAATATTCGACTGGATGAATCAACATTTTTCGTAAAAATTTGTAGGTCTTTTCTCCTATTTCAAAATGTGACGCAACTCATTGAAATTATTTATTTTGATCCATTTCATCTCATCTTCTTGTGGAAAATTTGCGATCCTCTCTTGGATTCTGCGATATTTCATGCAAACTAAATTCTGACTGGAGCTGACTTATATCATTTCACCTCTTTTCTATTGAAATATTTCGGTGTATTGCGCTATGTTAATTTTATCTTATGTATTTTCAGATAACTATTTGCGATTTTATCACACACGAAGTGGAGTTTACAAGCTGTTCAAAAAATTGAATGCCCAAAATGTGTCCTGGAGTATTTTGGACACTGCATTCAGCCCTGATGGGAATTATATTGCCTATTCGAGTTGGTCCGACTCATGTGAGTACTATCATGGGAAACAAACTGACGAAACCAGATGAGTTCAATCGAACTGTCATGCACAGTGGGTCACAGACAAAAATGAATCCTTTTGCTTCCGAATGGAAACTTTGTAATCGTTCAAATGCAAATTCTGTTCGTATGTATATTTGGTTGTACCAAAGTTTTTCCTTTACTATAGGTGTTTTTGAGCCCTATCTATCGACATTAATTGAAATTCAATTTATGCATTAATTTTTTGAATTCTCTCAAAAATCGATTGTTTGACGATAGCTAAAAAAATCAATTTTCAAATCCATTTCAAGCTTAGAAACAATTGTTTGGATGTCCTTTTGACCAAAGTGGAAGACGAATGCGACAGCTACATTCGTTGTTTCGATTTGCAAAGTAATTTCAGAGAAGTTCAAATCTTTTAAAAATCGGGTCTTCGATTTTTAAATGATTCGAAATTCTGACATGATGCTCCAAATTAATACAATGATCGTTTAAAATATTTATTCCAATTCCACTTTGTCGAAGTTCAAAGATGATAACGATATCTACATCTGTTGGTTAGATTCATATAAACAGTTTTTGCAATTATTTTCATCTTTTTGAAAACCTTTTCTGCGAATATTTCTTCAAATTTTGTTTCTAATTGATTCGATTATGCATGAAAAAAGTTTTTTTATTAAATTCAAAATATCCATTCGGAAGTATATTGTTAATGTATTTGTAAAAATAGGTGTACTCGACTAGATATAATGGGGATAAAGGCAATTACCCACTTGTTCCATTTTCGATGACATCGAAGTAATTGAGTATTGGTCATTTAAATGAGGATTCGTCCAAAACGTGCATTTACTTCAGGATATGGGACAAATTGAAATGTTTGTCATCGATTAAAAATCTCAATATCTCGGTTTATGAATAAAAATGTCACTTCTCTCTCAATTCTGTCCTATGTATTATGAATTTCCAAAGTTCAATCTACCTCATTGCTTTCCGACTCATCTGAATTTCATTAGCGAAATGGTAAACCGAGAGAGGATGTCCAGTGCTCGACCCCGCGGGGTAATCGGACTACTTGACTGATCTATTTCTGGAGGAATGGTGAATTCAGTGGGGCGTAACCTTTTCCTCTCCGAAAACGATTTGATGTTAATCAATTGAATAGACCTTTTCATTCTGAAAATTTGGGGAAAATATTTATTCTGTTTATAAAACTGAAAAATCTCCAGAAAAATAATGAAAATTTTTGATAAGTATTGACATTTAACCCTAGTCTGGTCACCAAACGCGACCGTGCGACTTAGTCACCTCCGCGGGGATTCCCCGCCGTGTCATTTAGGCTTTAGCGTTGCCGAATTCACTCTACACTGCCCGGGCGCGTTTAGAGAGTTTCCGGCAACGTCGCGCTATGGGCAATTTCATTTAACATGTGAAAAATAATTCATCTGTCCGAAATAATTTGTTTTCTGTAGGAATTGTGAGAAAGATGTTGTTCTGAAAACTACTATAATTTTTTAGACACTTCAATTGACAAAGTCAAATTTTTTTTAATTTTTCCAGTTAGTTAGTCAGTTGTAATTAAAGAAAAACGACGCGCGGCGGAATTTCCCTCATAGGGTGACCAATCTAGGGTTAAGATCATGTACAATTGAACTCTCAAAAATGATGATTTATATGTAAGTTCTATAAAAGTGTACGAAAATCTAGTGACTCTCAGGATGAAAAGGCCTACGATTTTCAATAATATCTTGTGGCACTTTTCAGTATTCAAGTAAGCGAATATCGAATTCCATGCGTTGAATTGCTAGTATTCGCCGAATTAATCGACCACTGGATCACCACTGTATATGAACTCAACTTGAGCAGGTCTGAAGTGAAATTTGAAAGTCCCGAGATTTAGATTTACTTACTTACTTAGATTTACTCGTTAGGATGTGGCAAAGAAGCAAACTCCGGAGACCTTCAAGATATGCAAATGATCGCAAAGGGCCAAAACCTTGAAGATCCTTCAAGTACCTAAAGTTTTAATTGATTGAGCTATGTACGTGAATAATAATAAATATAGCTTCTGAGCGTAGTCACTAGATGGATGGCCACACGGGAACTCCTCCGGAAAGAAACATTGTTTGGAAAAACTGGAAAGAGCATTGGAAAGAAGTATAGATTTTTGGAAATATCTGCATGTATAGTGCAGAAATTCTGAGTGTATCCATATCTACTGCAAAAATTTGAAAAGAAAATCGTGCTTTGAAGGGATATTATGTAGTTCAATTTTGGACAAATCAGAAGAAGATGAAAAAAACTATAGTTACTAGATGCTTCAAAATCTATGCTTGCTTTTATTTGTACATAGATCAATTAGGGTGAACCGACCAGTGTTCGAAGCCGTCCGATCGTCAACTAATTTACATGCTTATCGTGGAACAAATGCTCACTGCAGTGTGATGCAATTTTCGTTCTCTTAAATGAACATTTCTTTATGAACATTATATTAGTTTTTTCAGTAAGGTTTTATGAAGCTTTGCATTCTTTGAATATATACAAATTTTTAGCTCAATCAAATAAAAATTGAGATATTTTAGCTATATTGGGGACGCTATAAATCGCTGCGATGTCTGGTGGGTATCGCCTGCACTAAGAAAAATGGCCGTCCGATGGTTTCTCGTTGGTACTTCAATCAATTACTTTACAAATCCTCAAGTTTTTCCAAAATATGACAACATCGGAACTTCAAGTACAACAATAATGGTATTTTACACAACAAGTGAGGTAAGTCGGTTTTACACGCGAGTGCAGCGAAGCCGACTTACCTCACGAGTTGTGTAATGCATTTTATGTCATCAGTGCGTCTGTGGGGGTGGCGAGTGGGTACGGGCGGGGGAGGGGGTCCAGGGGGGCG